TGCACGCGACGGATCAGAATGGCAATGCCTTGGACCAGAGCCAGGCCGTACCCCTGCTGCTGCACCTGACCGACACGCTCGCCAATATTGCAGCACAGGCCACGCACATTCGCAGGGCGAACATGCTCTTCGACAAGAACAACCTCCACATGGCGCCTCAGACTCGGGCAGGCCACCATTCAGAAGAAAGGGCCCCCGACGGCGACGGGGCCCCAATGCGAGAGGTTATCCACGAGGAACGTCGCTACTTGCAGAACTACAGCGCGGTCAACAGGGCGCACGTCAACCATTGCAACGACATCCAGGAAAGGTGCGAAATACACTTCGGCCCACCAGTAAACATTTCATCCCGACGAGCGCGTAGCATGGCACGCGCCGGCCGACGTCACCCACGACGAGGGGGTCCAGGGCCACCACGCCCCAACCAACCTGCTACCACAAGCGGAAGCATTCAGGATTGAGAGACCGCCGCGGCCACAGTCAGCCCCTCAAACAAATCAGCATCAACCTTGACATCTGCATGCGGACAAGGGTCACTGCGATCCACTACTTCATGTCGTTGAGGAAATCTCATTACGATGCCCACGAGGACAACCGTCGACTGCCACTATCCAGACCATGGATCGCCTACATGCACGAGGGCAACGATTTCGTCTGGAGTCACCAAGCGCATTACTACAACCTGGACACCAGGCAAAACGCCGTGGACAGACCCAGGCAGCGGATTCCTACGAGCTGGCGGGAAAAAGAGCTTGACCATCCGACAAAGTGGAACGATTTTTAAGACGCGAACTACAACGCCATCCAGTACCCGCCGATGGGCATCCCAACCAGGACACAGCCGCCGACGCCTCCCACGCCTCCGAGGCAGCGGTCGGGTCGCCATTACCTCAGGCTCCATCTTTTGCAGTTGACATGACATCACCCCTCCCCCCGTTACCACCATCGCGAAGTGCCGCGACGACCCCGACTTCAAGGCCAGCGTGGACCGACCATTGCAAGCAGCTGGCTACATGACTGGCAGTGATGTAACCGACATGAAGCGCTCCGACACCAGCGTCGACCGCCTCGCGCGGCTACTACTCCCCAGCCAATGCGGCAACCCCGGCACCCAGCGTGGGAGATGCACGATCATCGAAGACATCTACGCAGCACAGCCACACACTACAACCGCGGATTCAAGCATCAGGCCGCAACGCACGACGGCGACGACTACTGCTTGACCTGATGGCCGCCCCGACCCAAGGGGCCCCGCTTCCTCCAGCCACGATGGGGCCACTCACAAGCAGCAACCTACGAGCCCAGCCTAAGCGCCACGAGGCACAAAGGGATAGCATTGACGGCAGCGCCATCTAATAATCGACCACACCTTCCGCTACGCTACAAAGCTCCACCGGTTTTGTTGGCGCCAGCGCCGATCGCGCAGCCCATCTGCGCAGGAGCAGCATGAGGTAGTGAAGGTAAGCAACCGAGCACACCTCAGCCATGGCAGGAGGCATTTGCAAAGCCACCGCCGACCACGCCACGGAAGAACGAGACCAACCACTGGGCAGTCGTGAGCCACGCCACGACGACACCAGGCGGGTCCGAAACGCGACCATTAAGCTCGCACAGCGACCTCCACCTCCACCACCGCATGGCATGACAACAGGGCCGAGGATCAAAGACCGCATGCACGAAATCATCGAGCGCGTGACCGCCACGACCAGGCGCGAGTACGTAATGTCCAAGATGCACACCCACGGTGCGATCCTCCACCATTGCGACGAGATGTTTGAACTGCCCGACACAGCAGAGGCCGACCATCGCATCGAATATGACCAGGTCATGGCGCACGTGGAAGGGGATCGCAAGTGCGACCGCGTGTCCCGCGAGCTGCAGGACGCACGCCCTCTCTGCGTGAATCAGCGACAATGGGACCTGGCAAACAACGTCAACCACTGCTTGGCTAACATGCTGACCGACCCGAAGCGCCGCAGCCGCGACGACGTGCCTGACCAAGCGGAGGTGCTACAGCATAAGAGGGACATCTTCACGGGCATCAAGGTATCTATACGACACAGCCCCACGCGCATGCCCTCGCCACTCCTCGCAACCGACCTACAGAGGGGAAGTTGCAACCGAGGCAACGGTCAAGATGGCAGTACCAGCAGTGCCCGAGAGTGAATCACAGCACCAGCAGAACCGACAGCCGACACCAGACCCACCGACTGCATGCGACCTTCTGCCACCGACCGAGCCGCACATCGGGACCGCACCAACCCAACTAGGACACCTGGACCAACAGTCGTCGACTTCAGGACCGAATGCAAGTGAGCTGACCAACGACGCCAACTGGGCGCAGCCCAGGCGGCCCACTACCTCGACGGGCAGAACCGCAGCGAGCAGCACCGCCGACCACCAAGCGCCGCATCAGTCGCAGCAGCACGCCATCGCCGATGCCAGCACGGCTGCCACGAACCGCAACTTGATCACGGACCACAATACCGATGGGGGCGTTTTCCACGCTGGCGAACGCAAGCCGCAACGACACCGCTCTCAGGCGGACAACCGAGCATCGTCCACCAGGACGGCCAGCAGCAGACGGACAAGGAGGCTTTCCCGTTTTACGGCCCCGACCCGCGGAAGCCATGGCCGACCTACGCAGACGCCGTCAAAGTTGACCAGCCTGACCAGCGCGGCCTTGATCGCCCACAACACGAGGCAGTCCGCGCGATCGAACCAGCCTAACGGCGGCCGATCAGTGCCCGACTGCCCCATGCAGTACATTAGTTTTGTGATGACAACCGCCAGCTGCTACGCGCCCACGCCCACCTCTACGCTATCCTTGAACGGACGCGCGCGCAATCGCCGCAAAAAACGGAAGCAGCACGGCAAGGGGCATGGGAGTCCACCTTCTCTCGCCGCATCTACAGCGCGCACGTCAGCGGCGACTGCGATCGGCATGGGTCCCCACGAGGCTTTCTCGTTCACCCGAGTATTACTGCACGAAACGCGTGGGTCCCCGATGGGGTTCCCGCCCGCCGCGCATGAGGGCTCCACCAACCCCCACCCCTTCTTGGCCCACCTGCCTGCAGCCCCGACCCCCCCCCCAACGCCTCCATCTACATCTAGCCTTCACCTTCCCACCTTCTTCCTGGCATCGCTCGGACGTGTGCATTTTTTCCTCGGCGCGAACCATCGAGGACCATCCTGGACCATCGAGCAAAAAAGCACGCGCGAAACCGAAAAATGCACGGGAAATGGACGTCCGAGCGATGGCGAATCTTTTTGGTGAGGGATGAGCCAGGCATCTGGGTGGGAGGGGGCTCGGACTCACCGCGGCCGCCACCGGGGCAGCTGTCATCAGGGCGCCAATTCAGCCCCTTCCAATATCTACCGCCTGCACTTCACCTACAACGCACACGCAGCGCGCGGCCGCCACGGATGGCAGAAACCACCCCCAGGCACGGCGGAACTCCCCCAAAACGGCTCCCACTCCCGCGATCTGGGCGCCCTGCTCCTGCCTCGGCCAGGGGAGGGTACCAGCCGTGGGGGCGGTGGCCGTTTCGGGGGGGGGGGTCCTCTGTGCAGGAGGCGAGGACTCGCTGCCAGCCACGTTGGCGAGTGCGGTCGCCACTGCTCCTCGCGAGCGTCGGTGGCCCCCGCCTTGGGGGGCACGAGCCTCCCTCCCGCCCGGCGCAACCCCCCCACGCGGCCCCATGGCCACTGTGCTGGGAGCCCTGCGCTTGTTTCCACGCGAGGGGTCCCGCCTCTGACCCGGACGCCTGTGGGGGGTCCCCACGAGCTGAGAGAGAGGCTTCTGAGCCACCAGCGAAAGCGGAGCGGCGCCGCCACCGCCGGTGCGCCGCCACCTCCACCACCGGCAGCCTCTTGCTTGCCTGCCTGTCTGTCTTTCTCCCTTTGATACCATCACGCGCACGTCTGTTTCAAGGCTGCCGCCCAGCGCGGCCCAGCCAACAGGGCGCCTGGCCTGCTTGCACTCCTCCACCTCCTACCTCATGTCAAGGTTGCCGACCACAGTAGCCCCCGTCCTCGCAGCGCCTGCCAACTGTTCAGCGATTTCGCCGACCGCACCTCCACCTCACCCCCATCTCGCTTCAGCCCTGCCAGCCTCCGCGGCACCCAGCTGCTGCTAGCTGGCTGCCACCGCAACATTTCGCTGCTAGTCAAAGGTAACGCGTCTGCCACCCCTCAGCTACCCCCCTAATGGAGGATGACGATTAATAAATGACCAGGGGTCGTGTTCACGCGGCGGCGCCCGGGATGACGATTAGAAAAAACCGGCCGCGGGCTGGAACATTATGTTTGAAATCGTTCTCTTCCAGTCAGAAAATTGTGCAGAAATAGCAAAAAACTATGTGTTTAATCCTTCTCTCCCATTTTCTTTATTAATCGTCATCCCGCATTACCTCCACCTCTGACTGAGCAGGGCACCTCTACGGAGGGGGCGCCCCAAGGGTATTGGCCCCGAGTGTCCAGGGGGCCCAAAGGGAGGAGGACCCTTCGACGAGGGGCTGCACGGGCCCCCCACGCGCCGCGCTGCCACGTACTGCCACGCCGCATGGCACACGATCCCCCTCTCTTCTCCTCCCTCCTGAGGCTGTGTATTGTTAGTTGTATGTCTCTCCCGTTCTCTCCTCCTTGTTACGCTGGACCACGGTCTATTTTTTAGTTTTGCTCCACTCCGGCAGCGTTCGACGAACCGAAAGAAAAGTTCGAGGGCACATATTTAGACGTAGGATGGGGTGAGGGAGGGGAGATTGGAGGTAGGGGGGAAGAGGGGATGTAGGATAAAGCAGGGTGGAGGGAAAAGAGAACACGGAGGGGCGACCGAGCAAGGCGGCGAAAAGACAGCGCCTCTTGAGCCCCTTTTGGATGTAGCCCACCAGGTTGCTGTCTAGAGAGATCGGGTCTTGCGCGGCATCTTGAAGACTCACACAGAGCACGCAGGGACGTACAAGAGGGCGGGTGGCGGCAGCCACTGACACGCTCGAGAGGACTCCTGGGAGAAGGTCCCCGAGTTCCCCGTTGACGTGGTGAACGAGGATTACAAGGCTCTCTTCTTTTCTGTGAGAGATGCAGACATGAGCCCGCCGCGACCCAATTAGGGGATCGTTTCTTGAGTGCCATTGCTCGGCATTGCGTTGCCTCGCTTGGCATTGCACCAATGTGCCTTGCTTGGCGTTGCCTGCCATTGCTGTGCATGCATTGCTTGGCAGACAAGACTAAGGAACCAGTGGAGCCCGAGGAAGGGCTTGTAAAATCAGTAAAGGGAAAAAGGCCAAGGGAACCAGGGGGACCCGAGGAAGGCCTCTTCAAAGACAGTACGGAACAACACCAGACAACCCAGGACCCCGAGGAAGGCCTCTTCAAGAACAAGAAAGAAACAATAACAAGGAACCTGGGGACCCCGACGAAGGCCTCGTAAAGAACAATAAGGAAACAACACCAAGGAACCAGGAGAACCCGAGGAAGGTCTCTTCAATAAATTCGGACAAGGCCTTGCAAGGAAACAAGACCAAGGAGTCCTTGGGAAATCCGTTGTATGGAAACAGCACCGAGGGCCCCCAGAAAACCCCGACGCGACCAGGTCCAGCACCCACCAGTTTTTTCTACAAATAATACAGATCCTCAAAGGCAAAGCATAACTTGCATTACCCGAGACGTACCCAGCACTTTCTCCACACAAGAGAACACATCTAGCGCTATGGGCCCTGTGATGCAACAGCGCTGCACGCTCAATGACGGAACAGCGCCACGCGCCATGTGGGCACGCGCCATGGGGGCGCCTCGCACTCAGCCGTGCCTCCCAGGAGCCCACGAAAGTGACGACAGTCACGCAGTTCGCGGCCCCCGACGGAGCCGCGATGTCTCAAATGATCTGCGTTTCCCTGCATTCCGCTGGGTTTCCCAGGAACCCACGGCAGTGACAACGGTTGCGCCGTTCGTATCCCCCGAGGGAGCCGCGAGGTCTCAAACGATCTTCGTTGCCTTGCACTCCACCGTGCCTGCCAGGAGCCCACGAAAGTGGCGACAGCTGCGCGGTGCGAAGCGCCCGAGGGAGCCGCGAGGTCTTACTGATCTGCGTTGCCCTGCACTCCGCCGTGCCCCCACAGGAGCCCACGACAATGTCGACAGTGGCGTCGTTCGCAGTCCCCGGCGGAGCTGCGAGGTCTCCGACGATCTGCGCTGCCTTGCATTCCGCCGTGCCTCCCAGGAGCCCACGAGAGTGGCGTTCGTTTCGCAGTTCGCAGCCCCCCATTAGGAAAGGTACGAGCAAGTGAGGCAAGGAGGCAGGAGGCAGGAGGAGAGGGGAGGAGGAGGAGTAGGAGGAGGAGGAGGAGGAGGAAGAAAAAGAGGAGGAGGAGGAGAAGGAGGAGGAGAAGGAGGAGGAGGAGGAGGACCATGCGGAAGAAGAGGTGGTGGAGGAGGAGGAGGAGGAGAAGGAGGAGGAGCAGGAGGAGGAGGAGGACCATGCGGAAGAAGAGGTGGTGGTGGAGGAGGAGGAGGAGAAGGAGGAGGAGGAGGAGGAGGAGGAGGAGGAGGAGAGGGAGGAGGAGCAGGAGGAGGAGGAGGAGGAGAAGGAGGAGGAAGACCATTGCGCTTTGTTCAAAACGAGAAACCAACACACGGGAGGTGCGGGGAATTTGCTTGGCGAAGAGCCCAATCAGATGCCAGTGTGAGCAACGCAATTGTAAAGCTTGTCGTCGGTGGAGCTCCCTACGGGGTCACGAATTGTGTGAGGGTGTGCCAAAAATGGGCGTCGGGCGCATGCGGGATCTGCCACTGGGGCCTTCGGTGGAGCTCTCTACGAGGCCACGAACCGTGCGAGGGGGTGTGCTAAAATGGGCGTCGGGCGCAAGCGGACCCTGCCTCTAGGGCCTTCGGTGGAGCTCCCTACGGGGCCACGAACCGTGCGAGGGGGTGTGCTAAAATGGGCGTCGGGCGCATGCGGACCCTGCCTCTGGGGCCTTCGGTGGAGCTCCCTATGGGGCCACGGACCGTGCGAGAGGGTGTGCTGAAGTGGGCGTCGGGCGCATGCAGACCCTGCCACTGGGGCCGCAGAGGCAGGAAGGGGAGGAGGGAGGAGGAGGGGGAGGAGGAAAGGAGAGGAGGAAAGGAGAGGACGTGGGGCGCTGCCTTTTCAAAACGAGGACCCAACACCACAGGATGGTTGGGAAAAACAATGTTGAGCGTGCAGAGGTTCACCCTGCGTCTTTCGTTCTCGCGTCTTCCCTTCAATATGTTCTGGTCGTGAGCCGCTGAAGTTGATTCATACAATTGGCGCCCAAGGGCCTTGGCTCATCAGCCTGCACTCTTGTCCTGGATGTTGCGGAACGACGGTGGGCAAGCGAAATGTGTTGCAGTTGTGGTTGGACGAGGCGCGCAGCAGCTTGTAGAGGTTCATGTTTGAGCAAGGCCCACATCGGTAGCTTGAGACGACGCGCGGAGGGTCATGGCACACAGTATACAATTATGTTATGTTTGCGGTTCAGCGTTGCTTTGTCACGGCCATCGAAGGCCACAGAGGTGTCGCAGATTTTGTAAGTTAGCGCTCCACATTGTTTGAGTCGTCATTTAGGCGGCTGCAAAGGGGTAAGAAGATGAGGGACTTTTCCGGACGATCGGCAAGTTGATGTAGCACCGAGCTGCAATGGCGACTCCAGACCGTAGCCGATATTAATGTTGGGGTCGGGGGGAGTGGAAACACTCATCCGTAGCAAATGCGGCGCCAAACGTCGTAAGCATGAGATGGTCCGACATGTTGTCAATGCACCGTAGTGGCGCAAATTGAGCGCGTTGGTAATGACAATCGTTGTTGCTGGCGCCTTGGTACGAATGCGATACCCACTTGGTGTTTATTTGCATTTATTGTACGATTGCTGCTGCCGATTGCAGATAATCAGTTTTAGAGGGGATGTGAAGACTGTGCCACAGGATGCAGAGCAGTCGCTGCAACATATTGCAACACGGGCACCTCGCAGGCCACCAGATCGTGGGTCCGCGTATAGGCCGGACATTTCTCAACGCGGCGAGATTCGCATGATTGTGAACAAGATCTTCTCGCAGACGTCCCGCAGCGAATGCCGCTTGCTGCTCCCAGTACGGAACACGCGGTGAAACACCGCCAGGCGGTATGGCGGGTTGGCGGAGGAGGAGGAGGAGGAGGAGGAGGAGGAGGAGGAGGAAGGGGGATGAGGAGGAGGAGGAGGGAGGAGGAGGAGGAGTAGGAAAGAGATATTATGATCGCCATCTTGCCGCTTGCTGCTCCAGCTGCTCCGATGGCCCCCCTGCCACCGTCGCATCGATGGCGAGGCGGCGTGCGAGGGGGGCAACAGCCTCGACGATGGCTGGATGTACCTCTACAACGAGGCCCTCGAGCATAGCAATGGGAGGAGCGGCAGTGGACGAGGGAACGGAAACGCGAGTATCGGCGGCGAGCGAGGGGGGGAAGTTCAAGCTAGGTGCGTTCGCGTCATATCTGACGTCCTACCCTTCCCTCCCATCCCTTCCCATGGCGCAGATCTCTATATTCGCACAGTCGGATGTCGAGCAGGGCAATGATCGCGAGAGGGTGCGCGATGCATCGTAAAGCACGGCACCGCAGGGCGTAGAGGGAGCGTAGCATGCCATAGCATGCCGTGGCGTTGCGTAGCTCAGAATTGCATCACAAAGCATTTCAACGCAAATAATGGCATCCCATAGCGGCACAGAACACAACACCGCACAGCATGTCATGGCATGGTGCCGGGTTCCTTGGAGGGTAAGTGGATCGTCTTCGAGAGGTTTGGGCCAGTCTGGAGTCGTGGCTCCATGTCTAGCTCCTTGTGCTCCCTGGAAAGTTCCACACAAGGCGGGGTTGATGGAGAGCATCCGCTGGTTCTGCTTTCAACATCGCCTTCTCAAAGCAGAAACGGGGCTCCCGCTTGATAGTTTCTGAAAACGACGACGCCCCAATTTGTGGGCAAAAAATCAACGAATCGACACCGAATGTGGAATCACTCCCGATGGCTTCTTCGGGGGGCCAGTTTCTAGAATTTGGGGCATGGCATGGCACTGGAAAAAACTTCTCCAGAAGGCACGAGAGGGCTTCTGAAAGTCTGGCCGCCTTCGGAGAAGGCCCTCTCCTCCTCACTTCCCCCCTGGGCGCCCCGCCGAATATGTTTTTGGGGTCGGAGCTCGGTTCTCTGGCGGTCCTTCGGGACGATCCGGGCACCCCTGCGGCGAGGCGCAGCTGCTGGAACGCATCCCGATTTTGGAAAACCGCCGAGACCTAACGGAAACGTCCGAGAAACTCAAGCCTCGAGCCTCGACAATTACGCAACATGAATACTACTCTCCTCTCTCCCCTGATGACGTCCAGAAGATGTCCCGCTCCCTCCGCTCACTGTTCTTTGAAACACAAGATTCCCGGGAATTGGGCTTTCGCTGGGTTTGTGTTCAAACTGGTGCTCCCGCGAACGCGTTGGCCTCATTTTCGGGCTTCCGCTGGTTCCGAATCGTGCTCCCGCTGCAGCGTTGGTCTCATTTCCGCGCTTCCGCTTGTTCCGAATCGTGCTCCTGCTGCAGGCCTCATTCTGCGCTTCCGCTCGTTCCGAATCGTGCTCCCGCTGCAGCGCTGGCGTCATTGTTTCCCAACCATCCTGTGGTGTTGGGTCCTCGTTTTGAAGAGACAGCACCCCGCGTCCCTCCTCCTTCCTTCCTCCTCCCTTTCCTCCCTCCTCCATCTTCAGCAGTTTTCCCCCGCCCAGTACAGCGCTTCGTGGCCCCAGAGGGGGCTCCAACCACGGTCCCAGTAGCGCAGTCCGCATGCCCCAGAGGGAGCTCCACCGAAAGTCCCAGTGGCGCAGTCCGCCTGCTGTTCCCCCCACCCAGTACAGCGTTTCGTGGCCCCAGAGGGAGCTCCTCCCGAGGCCCCAGTGGCGAAACTCGCATGCGGTTCCCCCGCCCAGTGCAGCGCTTCGTGGCCCCAGAGGGAGCTCCTCCCCGGGTCCCATTGGCGCAGTCCGCATGCGGTTCCCCCGCTCAGTACAGCGTTTTGTGGCCTCAAAGGGAGCTCCAACGAAGGTCCCAGTGGCGCAGTGCGCATGCGGTTCCCCCACCCAGCACAACGCTTCGTGACCCCATAGGGAGCTCCACCGAAGGTCCCAGTGGCGAAACTCGCATGCGGTTCCCCCGCCCAGTGCAGCGCTTCGTGGCCCCAGAGGGAGTTCCACCGTAGTTCCCGGTGGCGGAATTCGCATGCGGTTCCCCCGCCCAGTGCAGCGCTTCGTGGCCCCAGAGGGAGCTCAATCGAAGGTCCCAGTGGCGGAATTCGCATGCGGTGCCCCCGCTCGGTACAGCGCTTCGTGGCCCCAGAGGGGGCTCAATCGAAGGTCCCAGTGGCGGAATTCGCATGCGGTTCCCCCGCTCAGTACAGCGTTTCGTGGCCCCAGAGGGAGCTCCACCGAAGGTCCCAGTGGCGGAACTCGGATGCGATTCCCCCCCCCAGCACAGCGTTTCGTGGCCCCAGAGGGATGTCCCCCCCTCGGTCGCCGCCGAGACGACGGAGAGCATGCAGACGAGAATGGCATGCAGACAAGAGTAGACGGGGGGCGGCATTGCAGCCACTGCCGAGACAGCAGTCCCGCTTCCATCAGATGCCGAGGGCAGGTGCAGGAAGTCCCCTTTTTCGGATCGTAAGTGCATGTAGGACCAAGGTGTGTTCCTGGAGGTGCGTTGTCAAAAAGAGTTGCTTACTTGGAGCTCCACGGGCTTGCACGGAACGAGATCCTAGAGGCCACAGCCAGTCACTTTGGGACCCGAGTGAAAACCCCTTTTTGCGAGCATTGGTTTGGGGGACACGGCGCAGGTTCGTCAATCATGTGTGGGACAAGGGAGTTGATTCGAAGGAAGAGTCACGGGAGGGACAGCACACAAACATTGAGAAGTGCCATGACGCAATATTTATACCGTTGGGGTTGTTCTTCCGGTACTAACGTTGGTGCAGCAAGGTTGCAGTGGTTGAGCGTACCAATTCACCTTTATACATCGTTCATTGATTCCTTGTATAGTTTGCCTCTGCTGTTTGAGTTTCTGCCCTTCCAAATTGTTTTGATCAAACTCATGAAGCTAACAAAGTCAGCACGGAGAGAAGGGCATGCCACATTTCGACAGTCAGAGAAGTGTCTTCGAACGCACATGGTGCACACGCTGGCTCCCTTATGCCAGGGACGTGGCACGGACAACGCGGCCTGCGGTACGAGCTCAAACTACTGGTGTTGCCGCCAGTGTGTGGATGATCACGGATGCAAAGGCTGGAGTGGGAGTTGGGGGTGTTGCTCGTGCAGAGACATGATTGTGGAGTCGTTGGACAGCATCGGGCGGGTTGCGAGTGTGCAGCAACATACAAGCATGATGCAACGGGGGATGTCATGGTGGACAGGTTGCCAACGATAGATACGTTGTGACGGAGGCGGTCCCGTGGAGCAGACTCAAGCGTGGCGTGTTCCCTAGTCGGCGCAAAAATGTTAGACGCTTCGCGTAACCCCACCAGCTGCCTCGGACCCCCCTCTCGGCGACAGCTTCACGCGTCTGCCCGCGACCGAAAAAGTAACCCCACCAGCCCATCCAGAAACGGTGCCCAGAGGAAGTGCCTCGATCAGGGAAGTGGGCAACACAGAGGAAGGGTCCCCCAGTGGAGGCCTCTTGGAGCGTCTTGGGGGCCTCTTGGCGGTCCCGGACGCCTCTTAGAGCGTGTTGGGTGCCTCGGAGAGCGTCTTGGGTCCTCCTGGGGGTCTCTTGGGGGCCTCTTGGAAGCCTCTGGGGCGCCTGTTGGGGCCTCCTGGGGCCTCCTGGGCGCCTCTTGGGGCCCTCCTGAAGCGCTCTTGGGAGCCTTGGGAGCGCTCTTGGAGCCCCCTTGGACCATCTTGGAGTCATCTTGTAGCCTCGAATGGCCATCGGAAGCGAAAAGGCTAGAAAGCCCAAAACATTGAGTTTCCTGAGGTTTGGGAAGAATTCTGGCCTCTTCGGAGCCTCCTGGGGGAGCTCTTTGGCCACTTGGAGCCGTCTTGAAGCGGTCTTGGGGCCTCTTGGAGCATCGTGGGAGCCATCTTGAGGCATCTTGGGATATCTTGAGCCATCTTGGAGGTCATCTTGGGCTCCCCCAGGCGCTCTTGGAGTCATCTGAAGCAGACCCCCCCCCAGCAGCCCCAAATGTGGCCAAAACCGTGCTAAAATCAATGAGTTTGGCGGTCTCGCCGAGGCCTCTTGGAGCGTCTCGGGTGTTTCTGGGGGGCCTTTGGGGGCCTCTTGGGGAGCTCTTGGGAGCCCCTTGGGGGCATCCTTGGGGCCTCTTGAAGGCTTCTTGGGGCCACATGCGGCCATCTTGGGGCCATCTCGGGGCCTCCTGGGGCTTTCTGGGCGCCTCTTGGGGCCATCTTGGAGGAGATCGGTCATAGGACGGGGAGGGCTAAATCCGTAAGGGCTTCGCCCCCTGCCGCCGGCCCCCTCTCTCGGAGAATGGGCCATGGAAGAGCTAAGTCATGAGGCTTTGGCGCTGTCGTGCAGCAGTATCGGAACTTCATGCGAGGCTGATTCGCAATCGGCAAAACCAATTGATCACAAGAGGGGTTACCACACAGGGCGATTGGTAAGACGTGTATAGTTTACGAGCTTGGTTACCACACCTTGGGATTAAAGGGCCGAGGGAGTATTCGCAGTTTGGGTTACCACGCCTTGCGATGAATGTGCGTGAGGGGTGGCACCGAATTTCAGAAATGTAGCAAATCCCCTGTGCTTTTGGACCCTGACCCCGCGGATCTGCGTGAGGGGTGGCACCGAATTTCAGAAATGTGGCAAATCCCATGTGTTTTTGGACCCTGACCCCGCGGATCTGCGTGAGGGGTGGCACCGAATTTCAGAAATGTGGCAAATCCCCTGTGTTTTTGGACCCTGACCCCGCGGATCTGCGTGAGGGGTGGCACCGAATTTCAGAAATGTGGCAAATCCCATGTGTTTTTGGACCCTGACCCCGCGGATCTGCGTGAGGGGTGGCACCGAATTTCAGAAATGTGGCAAATCCCTGTGTTTTTGGACCCTGACCCCGCGGATCTGCGTGAGGGGTGGCACCGAATTTCAGAAATGTGGCAAATCCCATGTGTTTTTGGACCCTGACCCCGCGGATCTGCGTGAGGGGTGGCACCGAATTTCAGAAATGTGGCAAATCCCCTGTGTTTTTGGACCCTGACCCCGCGGATCTGCGTGAGGGGTGGCACCGACTTTCAGAAATGTGGCAAATCCCATGTGTTTTTGGACCCTGACCCCGCGGATCTGCGTGAGGGGTGTCGATTTCGAGCCCCCCAGCAATTCAGACAACGCGCCCAGGTGAGGCTAAAAGTCTTGTTTGGGCCTCCCCCCCCTCGCGCGGTCAATCAACTAGTTACAGTAACCAGCAAGAAGTCAACTAGTTACAGTAACCAGCAAGAAGCAGAACTGTAACACTGGAAACTACAACCTACGACTGGTACAGGAAACTGCGAATCACGCGCCTCGCAGCCTGGTGGCCCCACAAGGGGGCCGGCGGATTAGCCTCCCCCCTCAGGAGGCCAAAATGGGGCCAAATCCATAGTAAAACCAATGAGTTTGGCTTCCTAGCCGAGGCCGTTTTGGACGCTCCAACGCGACGCGGTACCCCCCGTCGAGGTCCAGGGGAGGGGGTAGGGGGAGGGGTCAAGACCCCCTCCCCGTCCGTCTCGCTCACTCCCACCCGCCCCCCCAACACAAACGCAGCACCCGAGCCTGGCCCGAGCCGCAGCATATTCAGCAGTCGTCTTTGGATGGGCAGCTACTGGGGGCGAATCCGCCGCCGCCTCCGCCGCCGCCGCCGCCGCCCGCCGCCGCCGCCGCCGCCGCCGCTGTCCGCCGCCGCCGCCGCCACCGCGCCGCCCGCCGCCGCCGCCGCCGCCCCCGCTGCCGAATCGCCGCCGCCGCAGCCGCTGCCGCCGCAGCCGCTGCCGCCACGGCTGCCGCCGCCGTCGTCGCCACCGCCGCCGCCGCCGCCGCCCCCGCCGCCGCAGCCGCCGCCGCCGCCGTCAAGTGGATTCTGCATTGTTTTTGTTGACAGGGATTGTAGGGGGAGACCGCGTCGGGTTCGCTGCGCATGCTCCGCATGTGGAGGCAGAGTGTGTTTTGAAGTGTTTTGTGTATAAGGGGTGGTGGGGGGGGGGCCCTCATTGGCTCGGGTTGGCTTCCAGTCGCCTGGGCGAGGGGGTGTATATTGATAGGGAACAATGAGAATCCCTTTCCCGAAGAAACGCCCTAAACCCCCTACGCCCAGAGGGCTGGTGGGATTACTAGGTGTGTCGCTGGTGTAGTTATGATGCGACAACCATCACAATGCAGGGCACGCGTGACAGATGTTGCACCATACTGTCTTCCAACGAGCCCCCCAAAGCAAATAACCGCAACGACTGCATGCATGCGAATAGCGATTGCTTGGGCTAGATGAAAAAGACCATTAGTATCAACGCATGTTGGGCCCTGGTGGCGAACGCCAGCCTTCTTTGTGCCATTGCAACCGCTTCCAAGTTACACAACGTTCTTGGCGTTTGCACGCAAGTGTGTATACGCTCCTGCGTGTCGCTCGGTCTTCGGCTTATACCAGTCTTGTACATGTACATGTTATTCCCCCCCCCCACCCCGTGGCACGGGAATAGAGGTCTGCATGACGCATAGAAGAGTCATGCAAGAGTCGTGTTTCAGGTAGCCGTATGGTGCATCTTGCTAGCACAGACGTGTCGTCACCGATTCTCTTCATATCGGCAGTGTGTAGTCATTGCTTGCCGTTTGTCGCTCGGGCACACTCCCCTCTGTCTAGACTTCATTGCTGGTGTTTTTCCCTCCCTCGCTGCCCCTCCTGCAACTCACCATGCTTCCCCTTCCGTAGCCATGCTGGATCAATCATAGTCGGCCGCGTCCTTCCACATTACCACAGTGCCTCGCTTCCAGAACTGGCGCGCGAGGTGGATCCGTCGACGTCCCGAATACGCTATTTGTTGGTGTGCTGCGGCGCATCAGCACGCAACACCGCACCCTGTTCATCACGTCGCAAAGGCTGTCGGGCTGGATCGCGTAAGTCGAAGAAGGAAAAACGCCATAAACATAAACTTGTGGCGCTCCGCGCGGATTTCTTGGATCCGCGCTTGGCCCCCCCGTCGGCGCCTCCGGCGCCGCCCTTGGCGCGCTCCTGGCGCGCTCCACGCGCCAGGGAGGGGGGCCTGGCGCAGATCCAAGAAGTCCGCTTGTTCAGGTCTGAATAGAGCCGCCACCCCAACATGGATGAGGCACGCGAAGTGCACCCGAAGTTGCACGTTGCGAGGGGCGGCGGGGGCCCGACAGGGACATCGCGCACGATACCCACGGTAGACCACCTGGCATCGCTCGGACGTGTGCATTTTTTCTCGGCGAGAACCATCGAAGACCATCCTGGACCATCGAGCAACAAAAAGCACGCACGAAACCGAAAAATGCACGGGAAATGGACGTCCGAGCGATGGCGAGACCATCAAAGCGTTTTTTATGCTGGCTTCCTGCTTCGAGCCCCTGCGCGCCGCAGGCTGCGGCCGCGCACGCTCCCCCACGACACGCCGGGCTACCTTTCAGGAGGGAAAGAAACACACAGACACAATTAATCGTCGATTCCCCCGAAAAATATGGGAAAATATGGGTACTGGGGGGGAAGACAAAAACCCAGAAATTAGGAAAGAGATGGGGAATCCTTTTATTTGTGTGTGTATTTATTTGTGTGTCCCAGGGCCCCATTCACTCTCTGGGCGGGGGCGGCCAGGCGCCCGCCGGCCCACGCGAGGCGGCCTGGGGCGCCCTCCGCAGGCCGCGCCGCGAGAGGCCCAAGGCACGGGCCTCGGTGACTTCGCCGTCGTCGTCGTCGTCGTCGTCGTCGACGTCGTCGTCGTCGTCGTCGTCGTCGCGGTCGCTCGGGAGATCCACCGGGGCTGGCGGCGGGTGCTTGCGAGCGTGCAGCAGGAGGTCCAGCAGCCACAGGGCCAGGGGGCGGCGCGGCGCTGGGGCGTGCGCGCCGACGCGGGCCAGCCCGCGGGGAGGAGGGCAGCTTCCGCGGGCGACCTGCATGCACCGTGTTGCGTCGACGTCCTCCCGAGGCGTTGTCGATCCTCGATCCGGGAGCGGTACCGTGCATGGGTTTGCGGTCTTCGGAGCCGCAAAACTATGCACCGCACCGCGCTGGAGTGGGGCCTCTGCATGGGGGTCCAGACACGGCGCGGCGTATGGGCTTGAAGAAAAAGCATGAACATAAATTGTTGGCGCTGCGCGCGGATTTCTTGGATCTGCGCTGGGCCTCCCTGGCGGCGCCTCCGGCGCCGCCCCTGGCGCGCTTCGCGCGCCAGGGAGGGGGGTCCAAACAGATTCGAGAAGCCTGCGCGCAGCGCCAAAATTTATGTTCAATGTGGTTGTTTCCTCTTCTAATGGGCGACGTCCTCACACAAGGCCCACGGGCCCACGGCCCGCTCGGCAGTAGCGCCAGAGCGCCGCCGACGCGCGCAGGCATTCGCGCCTGGTCGCGAGGCGCCCGAAAGGGTGCTGGTCGCGAGCCCGATGCTGAGAGGGACGCTCAGAAGGCCGACGAGGCCGCCGACATGGCCACCGACATGGTCGACAAGACCGCCGACATGGCCGCCGACATTGCCGACAAGGCCGCCGACATGACCGCCGACATGGCCACCGACAAGGCCGCCAGCAAGGCCGCCGACATGGCCGCCGACAAGGCCGACATGGCCGCCGACCTGGCCGCCGACAAGGCCGACAAGGCCGCCGACGAGGCCGAAAAGGCCCGCCGGCCTGGCCGCCGGGGCCCGACAAGCCGCTGAGCTCCCAGCGCCGCTCCCCGGAGGCGCCGCCGCAGCCGCGCCGCCCGCGGCACGCCGCTGCCGCAAGCGGCGCGCCGCCGCAGCGCGATGCCCTAGGCGCCGCCGCGCAGCGTGGCGCGCGGGGCCGCGCGGCATCGGAGCGGCCGCCGCCCGCCGCCGCGCCGTCCGGGGGCCGCCCCGAGGGCACGCTCCTGGAGCGCACCACGACGGCGCCAGCTGCTGCTGCTGACCGATGTCAGCAGACGTCCGGCGGCGGACCGCCGGAGCGTGCTGGGTGCACCTCTGGTCACCATGGCTTGTTTGAGGAGGAGGAGGAGGAGGAGGAGGAGGAGGAGGAAGAGGAGGAGGAGGAGGAAGAGGAGGAGCACGAGGAGTCGCCCGAGAACGACGAGAAGCAGTTGGTGGAGGCGGCGGGGGCGTGGAAGGAGCAGGACGGGGGCATGGCAGAGGGGACGCCGGCTCCGCGAAGAGGGAAGACGAGAGGAAGACCCTGGCTTTCCGAGTGTTGGTGGGTAGCCCGGGAGGGCCACGCGCACCTCCCGTGCACTCTTGAGCGTGGATTCCGGGCCGCCTTGTCGACGACGGCCTGCGTGTCCACGACCGCTGTTGCTCGGCCTTGGCTGTCAGTGCGGTGAGGGCGCGCCACAATACGCGGAGCTGGACCCCGGATGTTCAGAGAATCCGACGAAGGCATCCATACAACACCACCGTGCCAGACCAGGGCCATCCTGGGCCGTAGGATGGTGTATAGACCCTCCTGGCTCGGCCAGGAGGGCGTATACACCATCCTAGGGCCCAGGATGGCCCTGGCCTGGCACGGTTGTGGTGTATAGATGCTTTCTGCGTAGAGAAACTCGAGGACCCTGCTGATGCGACCGGCGAGTCGGGCCGCTCGGCTGCGTGCCTCTCGTCTTCAGGCGTGGCAGGCTGCAGCAGAGCAGGGCTGGCGAGGCAGGAGCAGACGGGGACGGACGCTCTGCCTCCTCCTCCTCCTCCTCCCTCCTCCTCCTCCTCCTCCTCCTCCTCTCTCCTCCTCCTCCTCCTCCTCCTCCTCCTCCTCCCTCCTCCTCCTCCTCCTCTCCTCCTCCTCCTCCTCCTCCTCCTCCTCCTCCTCCTCCTCCTCCCCCTCCTCCTCCCTCTCCTCCTCCTCCTCCTCCTCCTTCTCCTCCTCCTTCTCCTCCTCCTCCTCCTCCTCCTCTTCCTCCTCCTCCACAGGCCTTCCTTTCACCGATGCGCCTCCCCTTCGCGCTCAGACAAGAGCACGACGGCTACACGCTCCACGACTACCAACGCCGCAGATGATGCAGTGCCCGCTCGGCAAAGCCATGCACAGGGCGGCGCCGCTCCCGTGAGCGACGAAAGTGCGGAAGGCCAGGGCACCCCGAGTTTGGAGTCGAGACCGTTGCAAGGCAAGGGGCTGAGGAAGAGGAGGGGGAGGAGGACGGAGAGGCTCGTGCCCTTGACCCATGTTCCTGTGGCAGCGCTTCGGCTGTATGAGAAGGAGCGGGGACATACAGGGGGGAGGAGAACAGGTGACGGGGACAGGGTGAGGGGCTCGGAATTGGGCGAGCGCGCGACGCGGCACAGGGGGAAGCACGGATGAGGACAATTCCAGGGTTGTCTTTGATCGGGGACGCATGTCCGCAATGTCTGGAAACAGAACGCGGGTCGATTGCAGACGACAGAACCGAGAGGTCACACAGGCCGTCCAAGCGGAGCGTTCAACACAGCATGGCACGAGTTGGGATTAGGCGAGGCACTGGTAGGAGTTCGAGAGGGAGGTAAGTTTTAAGCCACTGCCCAAAGGGAGGGCTTGAGAAGGGGAGTCCCCCTTCCCGCTCCTTCTTCTCCTCGTATGCAGAATCCTCGCGTCATGTTGTGGTCATCGCCCTGGTCGCCATTGCGACCTGCCTCGATTGTAGGGTGCGCCGCATATCATCTGCCCATCCCGTGACTTGGCTCGCCCTGCGAGGGCGAGGAGGTCGCCGCCAAGGAGGGGGCGCCGAATCCCGCGGAGGCGAGGAGGCCGTGGCCCCGCCGTCGGTGGGCGGGGTCGGCGGGGTCCTCCGTCCTTCTTCTCCCGTCGTTACCTCCTTCTCCCGAGGAGCGGAGGGGCAAGTAGGGGGCCACACGCGAACCTGACCCCTACCCCCCACGATTTCTGAGGAGGAGGGTGGGGTTCACTTCGCGTGTGGCCCCCTAGCAAGCTGGATGTGCGCATGCCGTGCAGTCGGACCGAGGGATAAGATCGAGCTCGGTTCTGGGAGGGTGCCTTGATGCCCTTCGTGTTTGTTGGGTGTTCTTGTGCACCCTGGGGAGGGTACCCTTGGACGTTCCGTGTGCTTTGGCCGGCGGAGGGTTTCGCGTTCTTGAGGGATGTCCCTGTCCTAGGTCCGATTGCATTTGATGTCACACCCCTCACACTCGCGCACACGTCCCTTCCCATCGCGCTGAGAAGTTCTCTATCCGACGATGGGTGTCCTGAGTGGACCGGGTCATGTGATGCGCAAGGGGGACCTGTGCACATTGGAGGTGGAGGAGAGGAGGGGGGGGAGGAGGAGGAGGGGAAGGAGATGTCGGATGAGCAGGAGGAACAGCAGCAGGAAGAGGAGCGGGACGAGCGGGGGCCGGGAGAGGCAGGCGGAGAAAAGAAGGCATTGGAAGGGCGACATCGACGAGGGAGCCGCGGATCCACGAGTGTGGCCCTCGCCGGGGCGAAGGGCGCCGTACTGAGCGACGGGAGCAAACCGCCAAGCTCAAAGCGAGGCCAGCGCTGCAGCGGGGGCACCGGTTCAGAAGGGCCGAGGACGTGCGGATTGGAAAAGCACGCGACCGAGCCACTCGCATCCGTCCGGGGCCGGGCTTCCAGGCCCGGAATGCCTTGCCTCAGGGTTCCCTATAGCCACTGCCATCGCCGTTTGATGTGCGTGCGCGAAGCTGTGGACGGGGGATAATTGGGGGGCTTCCTGAGGCCCTCTGGGAGGCATCTTTGGCCATCTTGGACGCCCTTGCGACCCGCGACCCCCCCGTCCAGGGAAGTCCCACCAGCTCATCCAGACGCAGATCGCCTGGCGAGTTGCTTTGATCAGGGAAGTGCAGAAGCATGCAGTGTAACAACTGCCTTGGAAGTGTTTTCTCGGAGGTCTCTTGGAGCCATCCTGTGTGTCTCTTTTGGGGTCCACTCCTAGGGCCCTATTGGTGCTCTTTTGGGGGGGTCCAGGGGCCCTCTTGGCGCTCGTTGGGAGGGGGGGGTGAGGCATCTGGAGGCAACCTGGGGCACACTGTTAAAAAAGAGGGAGGGGGTCCTCAATTCAGATCCCCCCCCCTCGGAGGCTCACAAATGGCGTCTTGGGGCCGTCTTGGGGCGCTCATTGGGCGCTCTTGTGCGCCCCTGGGGCCCCCTTGGGGCCCTCTTAGGCCCCTCTTGGGGCTCTCTTGGGCCGTCTTGGGGCCATCGTACGCCCTCAAGAGCCCATCGGAAGCGAAAAGGCGAGAAGTCAAGAAACAGTGAGATCCCCTTGGCTTACGAGCCATTTTGGCTTCTTGGGTGGTCCTTGAAGGGCTCGGAGGGCACTAGAAACCGTCTTGGGGCCGTTGGGCCATCTGCGAGGACATCGTGGGCTCTCTGAGACCCTCTTGGAGCCATCTTGGGACGACATCTTGGGGGTTTAGCGCCTCGCGCCCCCCCCCCGCTCCCAGTCCGCATCAAGCTACCCACCGGCCCGCAAGCCGTCTAGCTCACTCCCACCCGCCCTCCCAACACATAAGTAAAACCCGAGCCTGAGCATGTTCAACGGTCGTCTTTGGATGGGCAGCTACCAGGAACCAAAGCCGACCCCAGGTACGCGACGTTTGGGCGAGGTGCGCCACGCGTGCCAGGGGCGCCATGCGCGCCAGGCACCCCTGGGGCCCGAGCGTGCCAGGCACTCCTGGTGCGCCAGATGCGCCACGTGCTCCGAGTGCGCCAGGTGTGCCGTACACTCCAGCCGCTCCAGGTGCGCCACATTAGGGGCACGTGCAGAGTGTGCGCCTGCGCACGTGACAGCACATATCGGGAAACATGTCGGCCCCCGCCATCCGCTTCGAAAACCAGTGCCCATCATTGTGTCTGGTGGGCCTGCGCACAGCAGGCCACGCGACACCACCCCCGCCGTCCCTGTCAAAAACCACTTGACGGTGATCGCGGGATGGCCGCGCATGATCCAGATTTAGCCGAGAGGTGTATGCCTTTTTTGTCAGGGGTGGTAGCCCTGCGCACAACAGAATATGCTGACACCCCCGCCGTCCCCATCCCTGTCAAAAAGAATAAAAGTGATCGCGGGCTTCACCAACATGACCCAAGACTTTGCCCCAGGGTGTACTTCGCATTGTTTTTGACAGGGATGGTGGGGGGGGCGCACCGGGTTGGCCGCGCATGCTTCAAATGTGGAGGCAGAGTGCGAATTGTATTGCTTTTTGACGGATGGTGGGAAGCGAGCCTGCATGGAGTTGGCATGGTTCGTGGTTGGCCGCCAGCCGGGTGGGGGAGGGGGTGTACATTGATACGGAACAGTGATCAAGCTACTCACCCGCCCGCAAGCCGTCTTGCTCACTTCCACCCGCCCTCCCAACATATGAGTAACACCCGGGCGTCAGCATATCGCGTAAGAACGCCGCAGAAGCCACGGGTTCCAGATGCACCAGATACCCCTGGAGGCACAAGCGTGCCAGGCGCGCCAGGTGCGGCACGTGCTCCGCGTGCGCCCAGTGGTCCACGTGCTCCGTCCGCGATAGGGGCTCCACTTGCGTGCGCCGCAACTGCTGCTACGCCAGCAATTGCGCACGCCCCAGCGCGTGCTTGTGACTGCTGGCCACCGCGCGCGTGGGGCGTTCTTCGGGCCGGTTTGGAAGCCTCTTGGTCCCGGCTTGGAGCGTTCCTGCCCGATTTGGGAGCCACTTGGAGGCTTCGAAAATCCATCGGAAACGAAATGGAGAGAAGGCAGCAGCCATTGATTTGTCAAAGCAGTCGGTCGACCACATGTGCCCAGAAGGCAGGTGGGATCTGCTGGCACCCCGGCCGTCCTTGTAGAAAACCAATACAAAGTGGTCGCGGAGCGGCCGCGCATGCTCCAAATGTGAAGGCAGAGTGTGTTTAGTATTGTTTCTGACAGCGATGGTGGCGGGGGTGATCATGGGGTCGGCATTGTTCCGGGTTGGCTGCCGGCCGGGTGGGGGAGGGGGTGTATAGATATATAGATATATGTTCCCCAATCAGAGCTTGCCTCTGTAGGGGTCCTAGCGGATTCATATGTTTAGGTGAGGTGCGGCGCTGATTTGATGGCCGGCGGCCGGGTGCCCGAGGGTGCCCAGAGGTGCCCGGGTGCCCGATTTCAGTGGCCGGGCCCGGGTGCCCGAGGGGCCCAGGTGCCCGGGGGTGCCCAGGGGTGCCCGGGTGTCCGGGTGCCCGTGTGCCCGGGTGCCTGGGTGCAGGTCCAGGTGCCCAGTAGCTCTATATAGCCCTATAGATCTGTAGCCCTATAGCCCCAATAGCCCTATAGCCTTATAGCCTTATAGCCATATAGCCCTATAGCCCTACAGCCCCATAACCCCATAGCCCAATAGCCCTATAGCCCTATAGCCCTATTGCCCTGTAGCCCTGTAGCCCTATAGCCCCGTAGCCTTCTCGCCCTATAGCCTTATAGCCCCATAGCCTTAAAGCCTCAAAAAGATTATGATTGGGATTTTTCTCCGGTCTCATATTTATACATGGAACAGTGATGAACCCATCCCCCGAACAGGGGAATGAGGGGTTTTCGCAGAGCTGACAGAGAGAAGGCCAGAATCCGTCAAACCACCCACGCCCAGAGGGCGGGTATGGTGCCACGCCCGATCATTCGTGAGCAAATGGAAGCAGAGCGACACGCTGCCAGTTTGCAAAGCATGGAGTCGCAGGGGACGCCACAACGACACGCTAGGAAAAGTTCCTGATCGTAGACATGAGGCGTTTGGCCACATCCTTCTCAGCGCCAATTGCTGCGTGGTGTTGGTTCATTGTCGACGATTCGCGTCCCCCCACCAGGCCCATACAGAGGCGATGCCCAGGCGAGTGGCCTCGATCAGGGAAGTGTAAGAACATGCGGTGAAACAAAGAAAGGGGTAGCCGTCAAACTGAAGCATGGGGTCAGCTAACCAGAAAGGCAGTCGCGGATCTTTCGATGTGTGAGTTTCTTATCGGTTTATTGTAACAATGGGTTGCCGTTGTTGGGGCCACGATGGAAGCCTTCGGGACTCTTCTTGGGCCCCTTGTAGAAGCCGTTTGGGCCCGTCTTAGGCCAGATTGAAGGACATCGGTGAACAGTAGTGGCGCCACTAAGACACTCTTGGGGCTTTCTTGGGACGCTATTGGAGCGCTCTTGCGGCCGCATTGTGGCATTCACGGGCACCTTATTGAGGGTCCCGTGGGCGATTTCAGAGGAGCTTTGGAGACTTCAGAAGGCCATCGGAAACCAAAGACGTGAATGCAACGGCACGCAAAATGTAGTTGAAGGATGCTGGCTTCTCAGGGGGCATAATTGGGCGGCTCCGAGGCCACTCGGAGGCTTTTTTGTAGGCCACGCTGAGCCAAATTGGACCAGCGTACGCCAGCCTTACGTAAGGCACACGGGTGCACAGTGCAACAGTATCCCAAGGACAAGGATGCCCCCTGAAAAGAATTGCATGTCATCAATACAGTGTTCAATGATTATGCTTGTGATCGGAAAAAGAAGTCTGTGATGATTGAAGCCCCTACTCTGTTGGAGCCAGAAACGTCACTTATTGGGGCCATCGTGGGGCGCTCTTGGAGCGCTAGTTTGTGACCATCTTGATGCCATATGGCTTCCACGTTGGGCTATCTCATGCGATCTTGGAGGTAGCGTGATCACAAGCCCACCAGAAGCGAAAAGGCGAGAAGGCAAGAACAGAGAAACAACCTCTGATGTTTTTAGGGTGTTGGACGGTCTTGGAGGCGATTGGAAGAATGCTCGAGGCCATTTGTTTGGCTACCTTGTGCCAACTTGGAGGCCATCTTGGGCTATCTAGAGCCTTCTTGGAGCCATAGTAGGCCACCATGGACGCTCTAATGGGTCGCGCCCCGCCCCATCCATACCCAGGGGAGGGGGGAGCCCCTTCCCCGAAGGGGACAAGAAGGGGGTTGAAAAAGGGAACGCGCTAAGCCACCTCCGCTCAGAAGGCTGGTGGGACTTGTCTCGTTTCCCTGCTTCTCGCCCCTTCTCCCCTGCTCCTTTCCCGCATCTCTCGACGATACCGGCGCGAGCCACCTGTCACGCCATGCAAGGCGGGACGCCTCGGTGTGCCTTGTGTTCGCTGCCTCCCTCCCCGACGACCCGCATCCCCTCCCCTCCCCTCTGCTCGCGGGCAGTGCCCAGGGGGCCACCCATACAGACAGCCCCGTAAGTTGGTATGATGTGAGAATTCGGCCAAAAGTTTCAAATCGCACGAAGGTGCCAGACTGTCGGTCAGAGCCCCACATCATCAGGGGTAACTCGGGTCAGGGCTAACTCGGGTTCGTGTTTCGGGAATCCGAACCCGACTTACCCCGGACCCGAGTTACCCCGGATAATTCGGGCGTCCAGAACCCCACATCATCAGGGGTAACTCGGGTCAGGGCTAACTCGGGTTCCTTTTTCAGGGATCCAAACCCGAGTTACCCCGGACCCGAGTTACCCCGGATAACTCGGGCGCCCAAGTCGGTCCAGCCAAGCCAGGGCCAGGGGCCGTCGGCCCAGCCAGCCTGGCAGAAGGGAGTCTGGCGGCAGGTCGCAGACGATGGGCGCAGCGCAGGGCGCCCGAGAACGAGCGCAGGGGCACCCGCAGACGTTGACGACGGTCCCCGCTCGGGGGTGTCAACCTCGCCTCGGGCGTCGCATCCGGGCCTGGATCCGCTACGGATCCCATGCGGATCCAGCGCTTGTTGGACGGATCCGATGCGAATCCGATGGGTGTGGGACGGATCCGAGCGGTCGGGAAATAGCATGTTTGGCACGGGTTCTGTCGGACCGCCATGTCCTTGTATATGATTAACTAGGGCAGCGAAGGATTCCGAGATCGATCTACGCAGGGGCACGAAGCGGGCGCGACAGGGGGGGAAGGCGCCTGCCAGAGTTTTATTCTGGCGTTCCTTCCAAAGCTTTATTCGGGCGGTTCCTTCTAGAATTTTCCTACGGTGGCTCCTTCTAGAACTTTACCGAGTTGCCCCTCTGGATTCCGACGTGTTGGCCGTCGCGCGTTCTGCTCACTGGACCTCGCCGTCGCCAGCGTCGTCGCCGCCGCCGACGTCGCCGTTGCCGTCGCCGTCGCCAAAGTTGCCGTCGTCGTCGCCGTCGTCGCCTTCACCGCCGCCGTTAGACTCGGTGTCTGTCGCATCGCGGTCGCCACCGCCGTCGACATGACATCGCCTTCGCCCTCGCTTGCCGAGCCTGGGCGCGCTGGCGCACGTGCGCCTTCTTGAGGTTCAGACCCTGGTCACGCGTCGATTCAGTCACGCTTCCAGGCCAGGCAAATCGTACCGACTTCATTTGACTGCTTGTAGGAGAGTCACCACATCCTTTGGGAAATCGAAGATCGAGGAGGAGGGAGATTGAGGAAGTGGTGTTGGACGTTACCGGTCGTCCATGGGAGTCCTGAGGGGAGCTCTGGGGTGCCCAGCGGGGCCCGGCTCCTTGACAGGGCGGCGACCCCGTGGTGGTGGCCCCCCTTGGCATTGCCTTGTCCTCTCTCTCTCCCTGTCTGCCCTGCCCTTCCCGCTCCCCCCTGCCGTCTCAGTCCCCCTCCACTCCCCATATCCTCTCCCTCCCTTCCTCCCTCTTGCCGGCCCCCCATCGGCCTTCCCACCGCGCAGGCTGCGGACGACGGGGGCGGCGGCGACGAAGATGACGACCCAGAGCCGTACGACTGCTCTGTGGGCACCGACGAAGGCCTGGACCGCCAGCACGAGGTGGAAGAGGGGAAGGAGACATGGGAATGAGGGGACAAGAGCGGAGGACGGAGGGAAGGAAGAAGAGACCGAAGAGAGGAGGGGAGCGGAAGGGGGTGGGAGAAGCCAGGCGCGTTCGCGCCACGTTTGACCTCGTACCCCCCTCCCGCCCATCCCCTCCCACTGCGCTGAAGTCCGGTGTATCGGCCGACCTGGGTGTCCTGGAGGATTTCGAGTCCAAAACACGACCGCATCGCGTCGCAAACTGAAGGGCAGAATGGGGGCGCTTGCACACCCGAGGAGGAGGGGAGGAGGCAGAAGCAAATGAGCGGGAGTGCCAACAGGGGAAAGGGAGGAGGATGAAGAAGAATGAAGACCAGGAACACCAGGGGAAGGCGGAGGAGGGGCGGCAACAACGATTGGAATTGGATCCAGAATTACGGCCAACACCGCAGCGAGAGCACCTTGACCGGCTTGAATGACCGAGAACGTCTCAATCGAAAACGATATGGAAAACCAGTTTGAGGAGAAAGTTGGTGTGCGCGTGTGTAAGCAACATACGCACGCGCGAGAGAAACGAGGCGGCTGCAATCCTGGACATGACCGCGGGCAGAGAGCATCATTCGTTGTAGGTCAGACGAGGCGTTGCGAGCAAACATCACCTCAAACAGGGGCTTACCTGCCCTTCTTTTGAGTTTGTGGCGAAAAGAGAGGAGGGAGAAGAGAGTCGTATTCAGATTGGGCACCTGTGGAGGAGGAAGGGCCGAATGGAGGGAGCAGTTCAGGATCGAGGGTGGAAGACGGGAGGGGAGCAAACGCGGAAGACATCTGGGCGGAGCGACCGGTCGGCTGCCCAGGTGTCGAAGAGTTTTGCTGAAAGTGCCCCGGGGTGGGGGGGCTCAGAGGAGGCGGGGGACCCGTGTAAATTCAAGATTCACCAACGATGTTGCAATGAAAAAATCCCCTCCAACTTCCTGCCTGGCCCCAAACTGCGGGGAGTGCCCCGTTGGAAGGCACCCGTTTGAAAATCTTGAACCGCGCCCTAACACCATCCCTGCGACTTCAACGCCGCGAATCAACGTGACAGTTGCATCCTGACGATCTTGAAAAGTGCCAGAACGCTGTCCCTGGGACTGTAACGCCGCGAATCAACGCGACTGTTGTACCCAGACAGTCCTAGATCGTGCTAAAACAGCAACGTCAGACATGAAAACCCTTGAAGCTGTTGTGACCATTTAAAACGACTTCGCGCTGCGCTAAGGCGAGAGCCACATCTTGAAAAAAAACTCGACCTCCAACCGCGAAGTTCTTGTCAGTTGTTGAGACGAGTTTGCGAGGAGCCAAGTCGAGAGCAACATTTCGAAAACGGCCCGACCTCCATCCATGAAAACCTTGCAAATTTTTAAGACGCATGGGCGCGGCGCTAATGCGAGAGCGACATTTTGAAAACGGCCCGCCCTCCATCCGTGAATCGTTTCCAAACTTCAAGCTCATGGGGTTTGAACGGTGAGGAAGTTTTAAGCGAAACGCCCGGCCCGCCCTGCCGACACGTTTCGGGGTGCGACGGGGAGGAGTTCTTTACAAGGAACAGGAATGGAGGAAGCAGTTCTCTGGGTTTCTCGGCGTCAGGAGTCCGACTTGGGGCCCCGCGACCGTGAACTGAAGAAACAATTGCATAATCATACGCTTTCGGAGGTCCGCACGGATTTCCTGAGTCACGGCACCGCCTATGGTGTGGTTCGCGCGCCAGTGGAGGGGTCCATCGCCGACCCAAGAAATCCACGCGGACCTCCGAAAGGAAAGGCTCATGCAGCGGCGCGTCCCTCCAATGGAAGCCGTTTGGGAGGCCCGCGACCGTCCGGTAATTGCCCGAGGCGGAAGACGACTCCTGTAGAAAGGGTCAAAAGCTCCAACGGGTACGTATTTTCAAAAAAAGCACGACGTCAGAGGTTTGTTTGTCAGGACGTGGTGTTTTCCTCACCAGCTGGCGTAAGAAATTACCGACGAGATCATGCAGATTCATGGGAAATGTGCGGGACATTCTCATCACACGGTCGTCAGCGGTGATGTCGCAAAACCATGCTCCAGACTGCGCAAAGGCAAGCTCTCGGGACCTTTCCTCACCGAGCTGCGGCAACCAGTTCTCCTGACGAGGTTTCCTGTGCCACGCTCACTTTGCGAGGAGGCCGATGTAGTCCTGTTGCCGAGTTAAGCATTGACCGAGTCATTCTGGAACCGTCCCGTAATCTCCAATTATCCCGCGCATCCCTGTCTCTATTGACCAAGCATTTTTCGTTTCCTCCTGATTCGGCCACCGCAGATTGGAAGACAAACAAGAAGCTCTGGTGCTGTGTGATCAGGAAGGTCGGCTGCGAGGAGACGCAGGCGAATGCGGCCAGGGCAGTGTATGTTGATGTGTCTGTGTGTGTCTGCGTCTGTGCTTGTGTCTCTGTGTCTCTGTGTCTCTGTGTCTGTGTCTCTGTGGTGTTGCTGTTGCGTCTCTGTCGTGTCTCTGTGGTGTCTCTGTGGTGCCTCTGTTGTGTATATGTGGTGTCTCTGTGGTGTCATTGTGATGTTTCAGTGGTGTCTCGGTGGTGTCTCGGTGTGTGTGTGTGTGTGCATGTGCGTGTGCGTGTGCGTGTGCGTGTGCGTGCGCGTGCGCGTGCGCGTGCGCGTGCGCGTGCGCGTGCGCGTGCGCGTGCGCGTGCGCGTGCGCGTGCGCGTGCGCGTGCGCGTGCGCGTGGGCATGGGCGTGGGCGTGGGCGTGGGCGGGGGCGGGGGCGCGGGGCGGGGGCGGGGGCGGGGCGTGGGCGTGGGCGTGGGCGTGGGCGTGTGCGTGTGCGTGTGCGCGTGCGTGTGCGCGTGCGTATGTGTGTGTGTGTGTATGTGTGTGCGCGCGCGTGTGCGTGCGCGTGCGCGTGCGTGTGCGTGTGCGCGTGCGCGTGCCCGTGCGTGTGCCTGTGCGTGTGCGTGTGCGTTTGCGTGTGCCTGTGCGTGTGCGTGTGCGTGTACGGGTGCGGGTGCGGGTGCGTGTGCGTGCATTTGCGTGTGCGCGTGCGCGTGCGTGTGCGTGCGTGCGTGTGTGCGTGCGTATGCGGGGTGTGTGCGTGCGTGCGTTCGTGCGTGTGCGTGCGTGCGTGTGTGTGTATGTATGCGTTGGTGTGTGCGTGCATGAGCGTGGGCGTGGACGTGGGTGTGGGTGTGAGTGTGAATGTATATATGTGTGGTGCGTGCGTGCGTGCGTGCGTCGAGCTTGCGCGCGCGTTTATGTGTAAGCGTGCGGGTGTTTGTGTGTGTTCGCGTACGTGTGCGCGTGTGTGCGTGTGTGCGTATGTGTGCGTGTGTGTATGTGTGTCTGTGTATGTGTCTATGTCTGTGTATGTGTCTGTGCCTGTGTCTGTGCCTGTGTGTACGTGTGTGTGTGTGAAATGTGTGAGTGTCGGTGTGTGTGTGTGGGTGTGTGGGTGTGTGGGGGTGTGTGGGGGTGTGTGGGTGTGTGTGGGTGTGTGTGTGTGGGTGTGTGGGTGTGTGGGGGTGTGTGGGTGTGTGTGGGTGTGTGTGGGTGTGTGTGGGTGTGTGTGGGTGTGTGTGTGTGTGTGGGTGTGGGTGTGGGTGTGGGTGTGTGTGTGTGGGTGCGTGTGCGTGTGTGTATGTGTATGTGTATGTGTATGTGTGTGTGCGTGTGTGTGTGTGTGTGTGTGTTCGTTCGTTCTCCCGCCTAATGCGGGACGCCGTATCTTCACACCGTCTCAACCCAAACCACGCGCCAAGGCAAACGATGCAAGCGGCGGTGGGTGAGGGGGAAGTACGTGGGTGGGGCACGGTCCGCTGTGCAGCCACCCAACACCAAAATACGCACCCCGCACGCCTCTCTTGAAAGCACCCAACCGCCAGGACCAGCCCCTTCCCCGCACTGGTGGAGCCAACCTACGCACAAACACACGCGACGCAAGACAACCACGGAGCTGCAGCCGGCGCTGCATGCAACCCATGCTGTGTGCGCGCTGTCTCGGCGTGGAAAGCTGTCAGTCGGTTCCGGGTGGCGTGATGGGGCGCACCTGCACCGCGCGACTCCGCACAAGGCTCACGAGAGCATGTGGGAACGCTGGTGGGTGAGAGCGCGTGTTTGAGCCACCCATGTGTGTATGTGTGTGCACCAGGAGGCACCCATGGATACGAGTTCGTGTGTGTGTGTGTGTGCGTGTGTGCGTGTGTGCGTGTGTGCGTGTGTGCGTGTGTGCGTGTGTGCGTGTGCGTGTGCGTGTGCGTGTGCGTGTGCGTGTGCGTGTGTTGTGTTGTGTTGTGTTGTGTTGTGTTGTGTTGTGTTGTGTTGTGTTGTGTTGTGTTGTGTTGTGTGGTGTGGTGTGGTGTGGTGTGGTGTGGTGTGGTGTGGTGTGGTGTGGTGTGGTGTGGTGTGGTGCGGTGGTGTGGCGTGGCGTGGCGTGGCGTGGCGTGG